GCTGAGGCTCCTATTTTTACTCTCTCTCTCTGTATGAAAACCTCTTTTTATTTGTGCTTGTGTTCTTTGGTGTTTCTCGAAAGCATTGAGCATGCAGTTTAAAGAACAGCCCCTCTCCCTCCCCCCGAAAAAAACCCAAAAACAAACAAGATGACAAACAAAAACCCACCATGTGTATTAATTGACGCAGTATCTATTCTGAGACATCTCCGACGGAGATAGACCAATCAGAATGCTTTGTGCCTCTAGACCAAATAAAAAATGCCCCCATGTTTTAATCCACAATTTGATATTTTGCGGTTAAGTTTGAAATTTTCTTGAAAACAATATATTGATTTGCGACAGTTTTAGAGGCTATAAGTGTGATCTGCAGCAAATAATACGCAGTTTGACCCCCTAAAGTTGTGCATCTGTGTGCGGGAGTGCGTCTCCGAATGGTTCCTAGGTGCTCGCCGGAGTCGTCTCCGGATATCTTCTGCCATTAATTGCTGACAGAGTATTCCTGTCTTCCTTCACGTTCACAGGATCAGACAGATGGACGGTGTACTGCCCTACCTTTTTGCGCTGAATCAGCAACAGCCAGGAGGCGGAGGCGGAGGGGGAGCTATGAGCAACCCTTTCCTGCGGGCGATTATATTCAGCTCCCTCATGTAACCAATCAGCGGCGGGGGAAGCCATTTTGAATGTTCTGCGTTACAACTAAGGTGACCCAAGTTGATTGGCTGGGTTTGTTTTTTTTTAAGATGGCGGATTGTGCTTCAGATGCCACCTGAAGAATGTTTTTGCATTGTCTTTATGGCTTTGCTTTTTTTTTTTGTTCTTGCTTTTTGTTCTTTTTTTTTTAAAGAAAAAGTAACATTAGATTTCAAATGACATCTGAACGTTACCGTTGATGTTTCAAGTAGTGACTAGAATCCTCCTCTTACGGTGACATTATGTTGATGGTCCCTAAAGTATTACTGTATTTCAAAAAGCTGCTACTTTTTTCTGGTTACAATGCTTGGGTGCGTAATAAATGAAACTGCAGTGAGTGGAGTCCTGTTCTCTCTGTACTTTGCTTGTTTTTTAAAGAATAATAAGGAAATTATTGTCACTAAAGAATGCCCCTTATATAGAGCATTTCCAATAAGGAATTGCTTAATGTACAAGGTGATTTAAAAAAACAACCCAAAAACTGTACAGCTTGTTCCGTTAATATTTTCCTCCACACTGAAGTTTTGCGTTTCAAATTTATACACAATATTTGGAAGTCAACTTAATTTGTCTGATATTCATTTTACATAAATCCACAGAATAGTTTTGCTCTACATAGCGCGTAAAAAACCCAACCCATTTTCAGCTATGTCCCCATTATTGTAGCATGATGCACAAGTTCGCATTAGGCCAACCACTAAAAATTCCAACGATTGCGCCATATTGCAAACTACAGTAGTCTAACAGGCCAAGAGAAGTTTGCACAATAGTTTTTCTCAAGTTTTCTTTGCCTACTGAGGTCATGGTAAAGATTAGTAAAGAGCAGAGAGCTTTTTTTGTATTGAACATTTCCTCACCGCCAACCCATTGCATAAGTTTCGCGCAAAGCACGGAAATAATGTTAAAGTGACCTCAAGACCTTCTTTAATGTCAAGGGTGAAAATGGTACATCAGTAGGGACCTGTAGAGAATCAGACCTAAACATTCCTAGACAAAACGACCACTTCAGGTCAAACACACACCGTTTGCACCTCGGTAAACGTCACCAGCGTCAGTAGACGAGCCCCATGGGATGTCTGTCCGTAGACAATGTCTGCAGCAAGGACTTTCCTACGTCTCAACGGTTTGCATTCTCAAGGCAAATCTTCATCTGTGACTGTACCATTTTCCTGGCTAAAACAGCACCTGGACATGGATGACTGGTACCTCTATAAATTAATCATTGATGATGATACCCGTCTCCTGTTCGCAAAGCTATCAGAGAAAAACAATGTATTCATGATTCCCCGATCGTCGTGAAAAGCGTGAACATTTCCTCTATGACATTTGGTTCCATAACAAAGCCCATATTTACCTTTCAGGTTATATCAACTCCACAAACGCTGTTTATATGGGCAACCTTCACCCTCCCTGTCGTCTCTAGAAACAGCTCCATACTGTAAGGTGTACAGTGTGTATGGCTTTGAGTGCTCATGGTTGAGTGGATCCTTGTGTTTGGCCACCACTGAACATTACGAACGACGCCTTAAAATTTGTAGAGTCCAAAGGATGACATGTAAACCATTGATTCCGGGAATTCCAGAATTTTATAAATATTTCTGAAACGCTGTAGGAGAAAAGAATAATTACTGTTTCAAGGTTACAGAGGTGGAAAGATTAGATTTGAGAAATTAAAGGGGGAAAAAAACCCAATCATTTCGTGACTTCCTTATAAGAACTATTTAATTAGTGCGTTTTGTATTTATAGGTGGTTTTTATAAAAGCCATTTCCGTTTTTGAAAACAAGTTTCGTCTTTGTTAATATTATGTTAAACAAATTCCCTTTGAATGAATTATGTCTGCTCCAGATTTCAACATTATAGTACTCATTTTGTGCGAGATATTTAGAAGAAAAAAAGTTGTACAGTTTGTTCGTTTTTAAATCACACTGTCCTTCACAATTGTACAAAGAAGAATGCGTGCACCATAACATTCCACCAGTGATTTTCTCTCTTTCTTTCTCTCTCTCTCTCTCTCTCTCTCTCTCTCTCTCTC